CAATTTCTTCATGCAAAGTGGCCCCCATTTCCATAACTCTGTTAGTATATAATTTTAAAGTTCTTGGGCCATTTTAAGTAAGCTTTCTTTGTTGACTCTCACTTGGTAAAATATCTTGAAATCTTCTTTAAGTAAACTATAATATTCCCAATGCCATAACTTAAAAAGTATGAGAAAATTATCCAATATGGTCCTTTTCCTAGATAATTAATACAGGTACTCCTTGCGCATCCATATTATTGTGAATGTTGAGAGTCTTCCCTTTATTACATTATATTCATAGACATGAAAAGTGTATTTTGCCTTCCCCTTACACTACCTTATGCTATGAATGTTATTAAAATTGATAGAAAAAATGCAGAGATCATGCTAATGAGGACAGAGAAAATTTGGTCTCAAACACTCATAAAGTAGAAAGTACTCTCTCATTTTCAGATAAAAATCAATAACATAAGTAATTATAAACTGGTAACATGAGTCTATCAGTAGTTAATTTTCTTCAGCTTACCAATACTGTAATAATCAAAATATAACAATAGAAGAAAAGATTTGTTAACTATGCATCTGCGAAAGTATCAATATGCAGAATATGCTAGGAGCTCCAGAAAGTTAATGCCAACAGTTCTTTTTAAAAATGAGCTGGAGAAAACAAATTGGAGGTGGGGGAACACTTGAAGAAGGGATATGGAAAATCCCAGAGCCTATGGAATTTAAAATAAAATAGAGGGGAAAAAAAGAGTGCTCAAGGTGATCAATTGTGCTAAAAAGAAAAAAAGAAGTAGAGGAAAAAATAGAAATGAGCAAACAATATGAACAGGCATTTTTCAAAGGCTGAAATACAGATGGTCAACCAACATAAAAATGCTCATGATAATTAGCAATCAAGGAAACAAATAAAAAACCACAATGAGGTTTTATCTCATCCCAGTTACAATACAGTTACTATCCAAAATACAAAAAATATCAAATGTTGGTGAAAATATGGAGAAAAGGCTATCCTTAGGCACAACTGGTAGGAAAGTGACCCAACATAATGATTTTGAATGGCAGTACAGAGAATCCTCAGAAATCTAAAAAATAGATCTAATCTATGTAGCCAGCCATGCCTTTCCTGGGTATAAACAAAAAGGATATGAAATCAGCACATGAAAGAGTTATCTATAACCTCATGTTTATAGCAGCCCATTTCATAATAGCTAAGATAAACAATCAGCCCATATGCCCATTAAGTAATGATTGTTTAAAGAGAACATGATGTATACATATGTTATATCTACATGATGAAATAACACTTGGTCATAAAAAAATGAAATCCTGTTATTTGCAAGAAATAGATGCAAGTGAAGACCATTATGCTTAGTGAAATAAACCAGACCCAAAAAGATAAATGTTATGTCACCTTTGGTTTTTCTCTAATACAGAGAGAACAATAACAACAAAAATCTAATGTGTAAGAGTTAAACTGACATCTTAAGATTTGATTACTGTCTATAGTCCTTGGTCATATTATGTGGAACAGAGGTCCTTTTTGTTTGTTTGCTTGTTTGGCTTGTTGAATACAATATTCAGTGAAGTATTAATCCTTTGATTATAATACATATCAAAAAACTACATGCAAATATACTAATACACATGCAAAAAAACTAAAAGCAAAAAAAGAAAAGAAGGAAGGAGGAGGAACAGAAGCATCCTTATGTCCTTAGAATTGGATTTTTGAAATACAACAAGTCGGGCCCGGCGCAGTGGCACAAGTGGTTAGGGTCCTCGCCTTGCACGCCCGGGATCCCATATGGGCGCCAGTTCTATCCCGGCGGCCCTGCTTCCCTTCCAGCTTCCTGCCTGTGGCCCAGGAAAGCAGTCAAGGACGGCCCAAAGCTTTGGGACCCTGCACCCGCGTGGGAGACCCGGAAGAGGCTCCTGGCTTTGGATCGGCATAGCATCGGCTGTTGAGCTCACTTGGGGAGTGAATCATCGGACAGAAGATCTTCCTCTCTGTATATCCGTCTTTCCAATAAAAAAATAATAAAAATAAATCTTTAAAAATAAAAAAGAAATACAACAAGTCTGTTCTATAGTAATAAAAAATAAATTTAAATTTTTTTTTTAAAAAGTCAAATGCAGCAGAGTCCAAATACACTATGAGATATCGAGTTAAGATCAATACTTTTTATTTTGAGAACATGGGACTAAGCAGGTAATTATAGCACTACAAGGTAGCTGTCTGCTTAAACAAACACCATTGAATGTTTCTACTGTCAAAGCAGAACAGGAGTGTAACAATTAGCCTTAAGAAAAGTGCATCAGGAAGAAGTGACAAATGTCTAGCCTGAGGCAAACATCAATTTGGCAGACTTTACCAAATATATCTAGTAGTAGATATCCTTGCCTCTCCACTTATTCCTGCAGGACTAAAAGAGGAAAATGTGGCAGACAAAAAGTGGGAGGCACAAAGAAAATAAGGGGAGGGAGAGAACCTGGATCCCAGGCTTCAAATAGTTAAGCACAGGCCACTTTCAACCAATACAAACAGTTAAACAGAAATTGTTTTACAAGCTGGCACCCGCTCACATAATGAGATGCATTGTCAGTTCCCACTAAGTGAAATATTTGTGTTGCCATGCAGCTAAACAAATCCCTTTTTTTCACTTTCACTTAAGACAGCCTCCTACTCTTATTTCTCTAAACAGCAGAGGCAGGCGTACGGATAACATGGAGTCTGGGCAGTATGTCTCCTGCTGCCCCACAAGGAGAGTATTTATGTTAAGATTCCATGTTCAATGGGAATTATAGAAACTCCATGCATTTAGAGTCGATACAAAATTTCTACTATTTAAATATCTGCACTTACCTAACAATGTAACAAGCCACAGAATGAAATATTACAGGAGTATTAAAATCACTAAACATTCAAGAGTGTGTCAACATTTTTTTTCATTTCATTTGCACATTACTATTCATAATGCTATGGAGATCTCCTATATAAAATATGATGAATTCACAAGTATGATTATCAAATTTATGGTGTGTGATCCCTATACCACACATTATGGTTTTGCAGCTTGTTTGCCCTAAAGTAACAAAAATTTGCATAGAGTTTAAATGAGTATGGTCTATACAAACTATAGTTAAAATATTATTACAGTTACGTGCTTTTTGATATAAACCACTAAAACATATTTCTTTCTTCTTTAGGGCAATATTTTACTACAATTAAATGAAAAAGCTTAGCTTTGCTATTTCTCTGAAAACAAAATCATGACTGAAAGAGAAGCAGTTCAAGAATTGGACCTGAAAAATCATAGAAGTTTTAAAAATGAAAGTTGGAAAAACTCAAAGGTTAACTATTTATCTTCTTTCATCTCTAAAATAAGAGAATTGTTTCTGTGAAAAATAAAGAGAAAAAAATTTCCCAAATTTCTGCCATCTAGATAATAATGATGAAAAAGCTGTTGCTGGGGTGGGTGGGAGACTGGGTGGGGCTTCTCCCTCAATATCCCCCTTTACCTCAGATTCATGAAGGAAACAATATGGAAATAATAGTCTTACCCACTTCCCTATAGCCCTTGAACCTTTTTACCATAATTAACTATGCAAAGATTGTCAAAAATATAATAAAAAAAGAAAAAAGAAAAAGCTGTTGCTGGATTTTTCTTGTCCTTAAGCTGCTGTTCAGAGCAAGCTGGTATTTTTAGACCTCATTTCCAGAGCCACTCCCATATTTGCTATCATCACCATGACAATAGTCAATCTCCACCTGCCTAACTTAATATAAGGCTGCCTGCACCTTTTTTTTTCCAGAGTTCAAAATCAGAAAACATTCCAAAGAGCAACTGTCTTTAAGAAAAAATCCTTCAATTAAAAAGGAAGAGGGACAAAATGGATCTTCACACCTCTTTTCTAAGATTTCGTAAGGTGAATCAAACTCAAAAATAATTTTACAATTCTGTTTTTAATATATTCTTGGAAATACATTTGACCTTGAATAGGGTACAATTGACAGTTGTCACCAAAGTAATTGTTCTCTTCTTACTCTGACCTTTTTAAACTCTTGCTCCAGTGAAAAGTTAAACCATGCTTGAAATAAAACAAACAAGACAAGACAAAAGAATAAAGACGACTCTCTAGGATGAATATAAATTGAAGGAAAGGTCAAAAAAATGGCTGAGACTGTGTTACAATTATTAAGATTTTTCAAAGAAAGGTACTTTCTTCTTGCCTAATTCTGGATTATGTTTGCTTTCCATGAGTATTTAAAGAATACTCTGTAAACCCTTCCAACTTGAAACAAAAGCAGCAGACTACATTTTCCAAAAGGAAGTCTAAAATAAGCGAAAATGTGTATTCCTTTCCATTCTCATAAAATTTCAACATTGAAGCTGACATTCAAGGATGACTGGCTTTTGTGGCAAAGGGGTATGTTCAATCCAGTTCCCCAAACACATCAAGCACCTCTAGGCAGATCACTGCATGGTCTAACACTAACCTCATCTAGAAACAACTGGGAAAAGAAGGTAGATAAAAGGCAACCATGATTCTAGAAGATTTCTCATAGAATAGGCTTGCCTAAAAATCATTTCTCTCTCATGTTTTAATTCCTGGATTATCATCACTAAAGTGAGTGAAAATTAATTCAATTATTATATTGCATTCTTGATCTCTAGAATATTACAAAAGTCCATTGCTTATTAATAGGTAATAAATCCTTCAGTCCAATCACCTCTTAAAACAAAAATGTTCAGCTTGTCGCAGACTTACATCGGGGTTATTTATCAATGGTATCCATAAGTGGTTGAGACAAAACAACCCAAGGACGTTATGTCTTTCAAGCTCAGCAGCACTTAGCAGATTTCTGGGCCTCCAAGGCCTAACAGATTTAACCAAGACTTTTCACACAATCAGGTAGAAAGGATCAAGCTAGTCAGCAGATGTTTTATTCAGATAACAAAGAGAATATTTTAGTGACAATGTGAGAAAAAAAAAACAGTAAACTTGATACAAACCCATTGAACCATATCTTCCATTTGGCCCTGCAGAATTCAACCTCAAACTTCACAGGAACATTATCTCTATTCTTGAACAGATACAAAGACAATAGTACATATGTACTTTATAAGTACAACAAAATAAAATATTTGGAGGAAATGAGCACATCACTTTTAAGCAAGATAAAATGGCTGAACTCTCTCTAAAGACTTAAGAAAAACAATAACAACTAATATTCTAGTCTCATAGAAGGGAAAAAAATGAAGTTGGAAGATTCACGCAATGCTTCTGTATCTGGTTACCACTGACATCAAGCACATCTTATTTCATTGCCTAAGCTATTAAGAATACACAAATAAGAAACAGTTATTAATATTCTAAACCTTTCTAATCAGTACATCTAAAATAATAAAAGTTCTATCATATAAACAAAGTTAACTTTCACATTTGTCAGTCATTTCCGTTCCTGTGTGTGATCCTTCATGATTGCCCATTACTTCAACTAAACTTGCTCAAAAAGAGCCAAAATAATGTTGGAGAGAACCCTTTCTTACTTAAGAACCAAGGAAAAGTGTAGTTTTGACTAGGAATCAAGGACAGCATGACCATTCTTGCTCTTTTCAGAGACGAAGTTTAAAGAAAGTAGAATATTACCTGGTAAACTTCAGCCACATTTCAACTTTTTTTTTAAAAAAAGTAAAGCTGAGGATAAAGAAAGTTTACAAAAACATCGCTAAGCATTGGAGTAGGAATTATTAGAGCCAGCTTAGAGCCAACTTGCTTTCCAACCATCTGCATCAAATATTCTTCATTAACACAGAACCATATGGAAAATGAGCTAGCAATTAGCATAGCTTCTGCACGTGCCTCTAATACAGCAAATTCCAAAATTTTAGTGAAACTTTTAAACTACTTCTATGCTGCTTCTATGTAGCATCTGGCAGCACTCCCTGGACTTGACTCATCTTCCAAAGTGTCATTTCAAGTTATTACCACATTATTGAAATAAGATATAAAAAAAGGTTTATTTTTATCACTTTCTTTGCAATTGACATCAGTCATTAAACAATCCTCAGTACATTGAAATAATTAGCATCTCAGATGACAACAAATAACTACATGATAAGTCACATTAGTAGCTTTTAAATTTAGCAGTTTGTGTCTCTTAACAATGGACATAAACTGTTACAATGAATGATGTTAACAGGCAGACCTGTTTTTGAACCCCCAGAAACTTTTATACAGTGATCTCAATAAAGAACTAGCATAAAATAATTTCATTATTGTTCTTATCAACATCAGATTACAGATAGGACATCATGTCAGACAGCACTAGTGAAACAAAAAAATAATGGTCCTCAGTAGCCTTAAAATCCACATGGGGAGATTAAACACATGCATAAAATAACTTGGAAAAAAATAAAAGGAGCAACAATATCTTGAAGAGTCACTTCTTTTCCCCTATACCTTCATACAGTTCATTCATTCTAGAAAGATGCCCAGCTGATAGATCAGGAAAGTCACAAATCTAGTCATCAACTCTGCTCACTAAAACAGTTTTCCTTACACAGGGGTTGCAACCACCTCAGGAGAAGGAACAGAGGAGTTTGGTATTTTACCAAGCCATGATACCACAGGAGACTAAAACTAGCCCCATCACTTGGGTGCTTTTTCCAATTTATATATTTATATTATGTCCTGTTTTCCGCTGCTACCCTATAGTTCAAGCCATCATCATCTTTCATTGAAACACTTTTGTATTAGCCTCCAAACTGATGCCACTTCAACATTTGCTTTCCTGGCAACTTTTCTTCCTCTGCACAATAACTCTCTGAGGAATGTAAAACTCTTTACGGTGGTGCTCTCTTAAATTCTCCAAAGGCTTCGTCTTTCACTTGGAATAAAGGCCAGAGTCTCCATCAGGGTCTTGAGGATACTGTCTGATTTAGCCTTAAGTTACCTCTTTAGCATTATCACCAGCTTGCCTTTTGCTCACTCAACTGATACTATTCTCATTACTGGTACCAACTCTTCCTTCAATAGCCAAACATTGCCCATTCAAGGACATTCTGTATACTTTACTTTTGCATGAAAGCTGTTCCTTTAGCAATTTGCACAGTATGCCCACTAATTTATTTCTGGCTTTTCATCAAATGTTTTCATATCAGAGAAGCCCTCTCCACAACCCTACATGAAATTGTGTCCCCATCACTCTCAATAAATATTACTTAAATACATAGATGAGTGAATGCAAACCAAGATCCTTGAGAGCAGTTACTTTTGACTCTTTTGTTATACTTTGTTATATACTTCCAGTATCAATAAGAGTGCCTTACTTGTGAAGAACACTGATTGAACAAACATTTGATGGAGAAGTGAATGAACACTGCAGTGATGTACATAAGAGTCAAATCTAACGGTTAAAATCTGGATGACTGCTGGCATCATCAAAAATACAAAGCCTGGCTCAGCACAATGGCTCAAATGGCTAACCTTCCTCCTGCAAGCACTGCTATCCCATACGAGAGCCAGCTTGTGTCCTGGCTGCTCCACTCTATCCAGCTTTATGCTTATTACCTGCCAAAGCAACTGAGGATGTGTCAAAGCCTTGGGACCCTGAACTTGCATGAGAGACCTGGAAGAAACTCCTGGCTCTGGATCAGCTCCATTCTGGCCATTACAGCCACTGGGTAGTGAGCCAGTGGATGGAAGATCTTTCTCTCTGTCTCTTCTCTCTGTAAATCTGTCTCTCCAATAAAAATAAATAAGTCTTTTAAAAATTAAAAAAAAAATCCTGAACGATACTAGGGGGAGGAGATGATAAATTGGTCAAGCTGAAATGACAATAGAATATCAAATATTAATACAGGTAAATAGGAAAGTTCCAGACCCAATGGAATTGTTCCATAAAATTCAAAATTTTTAAATATATACATAGTTAAGAATATATAGTTAAGAATATATAGCTAAAAATAGATATATAGATATATACATATAGTTAAATAGACAGAAATAAGGCTCAGAAATAAGCTGGAAGAGCAGATGTGCAATCCACTTATGTAGAATCAAAAGGCTTTAGAATAAATCAGACATATAGGCAGGGAAAGGATCAAACTTGGAGATGTCAATATTTGGTTTCTAAGTAGAAAAAAGTGGGTTGCTCCCAGAAAAGGCTAAAGATAAATAATTACTCTTTAAAAACTTCTTAACACCTACTATGTGTTAGGTCCTGTGCTAAGTATGGTATTCCTTAACTACCACAGAAAATGAGAAGAGCCGGGTTGAGGAAAAGACACTAATTATGGAGTTAGGTTATGTCATCTTAAAGGCTCTAGATTCAATAAAGTTTTTGAAAATCAAATGGAAGCCAGATTCCAATAGGTTGAGGAGTAAGGACATGAATATAGGAAATAAAAACAATTGTTTCAGGTGGTTTTGACACTAAAGGAGAGAAGGGAATAATAATATCTCCAAAATCAGCAAAATTAAGAAAAAAACCTTTTAAGATGATATCTGAATTGTTAAATATCATGTGTTGTAATAGTATGTTGCATTTATATGGTATTTCCTAGTTTCTAAAGTGTATTCTCAAACACTATGTAGTGAACTCTCTACAAACTTGCAAGGTTACAGGATAAAGATGTTTGAAGACAAGATATGCAGACTCAAAGAAGTCCAATAGCTCCCTCAAGACTGCAAAGCCAGAAACTAGTTTAAAGGGAATGAAATTATAATCTGAATATCCAATACCACAAAAAAAAGGGAAGGAAGTCTCTCTGAGGAGGATGATAATTTAAAAAGCATGAGTAGAGAGCCACCTTAGGAAAAGATGTAAAACATTTCTTCGCCTGGGACAAAAAGGCAAAGATAAACAGGTTGAAATGGTAAGATAACCTTAGCTGGTTTGTGATGAAAACACATATTAAGGCCTAAATCCCTAGGAGTGTGATATGCCATATTCCATTTCACAGAGAAATATCTATGGAAATACAGGTGTAAAGTACACACTTGGACCACCATCTCAGAACCCAGAAGTCAAGAGACATTATTTGTATCTCACAGGTTATATTGTGGTGGAGACAAATTATTTGACAAAATCTGATAAGAAAAATGTTTGAGGGAAGGAGACTGGTGAGGAAAAGAATTCAAAATGAACCAAGAAAAATTATGTTGCCCATATTGACTTTTAAGAGGATTCTTGAAAAAAAAAAAAAAAAAACCTCCTGCAACAACTGTTCATATTCCCTCAAAACTTTATCTTCAACGTGGCTGTATTAGGAAATAATCCTTGTGAGTGATTATATCATTGGGGCATAGTCTTCACCAATGGATTCTGCACCTTCTAAGTGAGGCCCCAGAGAGATGCCATGAAGCTTCAGTGAGATGACTGTTTAAAGGAAGCCAACACAGGTTTGCCATTATCTTGATGTTGAACTTGCAGCATTTTCTTTTAGTGCAAAAAGTTCTGAAACCCACATATATAACAGATCTTTAAAAAAAAAAACTCATGGAAAGTATGCATTTTAAAAAATCTATGCATGGATTTCAAAATCTTTTACACTGACATATAATTCTTTTCCACATATATTTAAAATACTTTCCTAAGAGTTTCTTCTATTTATAAGCTGCCCAATCCTCAGCATTTTGTTATAACAGCATGAACAGAGAAAGATATTTCCTGACACATTTCCCTGACCTACTCTACATTCAGTACAACATCACAGCAGTAGCCAGCATTGTGGCATGGCAGGTAAAGCCAACCAACCACCTGAGATCCCAGCATCCCAAATGGGCACTGGTTCTTGTCCTGGCTGTTTTACTTCTGACCTTGCTCTTTGCTAGTGGCCTGGAAAATGTAGTGGGAGATGGCCCAGGTATGTAGTGACTACACCAAGTGAAAGGCCCAGAAGAAGTCCTGGCTCCTGGCCATTGTGGCCATTTGGGGAGTGAAGCAGTGGATGTAATCAATCTCTCTCTCTACCCCCATTTCTTCCTTCTTCCTTCCCTTCATCTGTAACACTTCCTTCAAATAAACAAATAAAACTTCAAGAGAAAGAGAAAGGAAGGAAGGTAGAAAAGAAGGAGGAA